ATAAATTCTTAAAAAATTGTTTAAACAATCGAATCTAACAGTTTCTCATAAATAAACGTCAAGTACTCTTGAACATTTTAACTAGATCGAATAACTATTGTTACAAATTTTAGCTATTTCTATTATTTTTTTTAGAACAAGGACCATACAAAATGTATTTTATAGATAACTTCTATAAACTGAATTTATTTCGGTTCTCGTTCTTGTTGTGCAGTGTTATTTGAATGACCTGTACCGTTACAACTGGATCAGACAAAGACGAAGAATTATTAATTGACACAATATTAGATTGAAATGTCAATAACTCGAAAATTGACAATAAAACAATTTAACAATAACAAATTACGTTTGGTAAATAATATGTTATATGAAACTTCTTTACTTGTCTGAAACAAATTGTTTTGTCGATAAAAACTGCTGAACCGTGAAATCCGGTGAACTGTTTTCGAAGAAACAATTTAAGTGGCAAAAGACGATAGTTTGTCCGCGCGTGCCTACGTGGGTCGTTTCGAATTAATATGCAAGCCGACGGGTAAGCGGCTTAGAGCAAAGGTGGTTGGCGCGGTACAAGGGGGTGGAAAGGTCGACGGCGGACTCGTCTAATTCACCGGTGGTTTTCGGCCTGACGGGCGCACACCCTCCGCAACAACACTTAACAATGCTGAAAACCAGCAACGGCAACCATATGGCCTGCACGCGTAGGCACACATACACGCACGCACATACCTAGCCCGGATACGCGAGTCAATGCTGAGAAGGGGATGCGCTGTTTAGCTACGGCCGTTATGTCCCTAAACAAGAACCGTTTTGCGTTTCACACGTCCTCCGTACCCCCCTCGTCTGTGTAACCGGCCCGGGTTAAGTAGGTGACCGCCGACACGGTAACGCACTTATATGTATGTGTACACTGCCACAGCGAAAGCATACGTCTTAGTCAACGGGCGCATCAAACCAGTATTCGTACACGTCACGGTAATAATATAATAACGCCGGCAAATCGTGTACCAGGAAGAGGAAAAATAAATGGCCCCCGCTTTTCCTAGCTGGCCTATACGTGTATATGATATATATACAGGACAGAGTGTGCGAGAGAGATTGATGATACGACGACGCTGTGGTGTATAAGGATTTAAACCGGGTGAAAAAAATGTCGGTTTTCGCTGCCATTCTTTGGCCGAGCGCATTGTGCGTAGAACGCAATAATTTACAGTCCGAAGTGTGCTTTTTTTTTTATTATACACTTATATCATGTAAATTTTCACACATCCATAACACATTTCAAACAATTATTATGACATTGAGAAATATGATATTTTAAGATTGTTACAATACTTTTTACGTTCGTATTTTGGCCAGATAGCTAATAATTCAATAACGTTACTTTCAGTCCTTTATGAGATGAACAACTTCCGAGACAAAATTTAAGCGTTTGGATATTTCAATAAATGTTTTATGCCAGTAGGTATGAAATATTAGTAATAGGAATAAGTTGAGTTATAATACTTTCGTTGTAAACGTTCATCTAGGTATCATCAAGATACTGTTTTTATTTGTGTGTAAAATATGTACCAGGAGAGGCAGTTTTCTGAGGATCTGGACTGTTTTGGCGTAAAAGTACATCTATACAAAATGGAAGATCAATTATCTAGATTTTAATTTAACATCATTTTTATAATACAATTTCGCATACTTTTGTAAAGCTAACGAACATTTCTAAAATGTAACGGGCTATATTAAGTTTTTAAACACATGATTTTTTAGTATAGTTATTAGAAATTCAGATGTAAAGGAAATAATATTTTTTACAATTTTCTGTTATTTTTATAACTTTGTCCAAAATCGTTTTATCAAAAATCAAAAATGCCAAATCTAAATATAATCTCGATTCCTAATTTTGTATATATTAGAAATGTGTTTATTTCTACGCTCAAACTGCTAAGTTCCTCCGAACAGTGACATTTCCGAGACATGTTTTTATACAATACTTGCTAAACAACTGCGTCGTAAGATTTTGTCTTATTGACAAACACTAAGTCACAGCGTGGATTCAGTTTTGCTATTTTACGATTATATTAAATATCAAGTTTTTTTTATTTTTTATTTTGCCTACAACCCGTAATAAATAGACAGTGTGTTGTTCGACTGACTAACTGATAAGACATTTTCGTATGGAACGTGAAAAACGATAGATTCGTTGTATTTCTTACCGAGTCCTCGGAGGAAATTTAGCGACCATAAGGTATATGGTACTGTTTGAAAGTGTTACAAGTGCGGTGTTTCTTTTCATAGAACATTTGCACGGATCGACTATGGCAGACAATGTCAGTGGCAAGTTATTAATGGCGGCCAGAGCGTGGAATTTTTCAATATTGTTTTGTTCGAAATACGAAAACCACTTAAACGTTTTTACGACCCGGCGAGCACGTCATATGCACAAACTCGCGAAAAAAAAACGTCTCTCTCGCACAGCCGCGTTTAGATAGACACGGGAAAAAACAACGAATTTCAGTTAGGATTAAACCTACCAGTCGCAGTGGCCGGGAACGAACGCAGGTCGGTAATAATTGCCGAAGTCGTCGAACACGGTTGACTATCCACGGCGGTGCTGCGTGGCTTCGGTCAAAGCGATAGGGTCTTATAAATAAATACATAAGTTTGTATTTGTACAGTGACTGCTTAGTGTCGCCGGGTCGCGAACCGGGCGTGTATTCAAACCCGGCGATGCGGCGGTGTGTACATTTTAGAACTCTGTAATGAAGTTTTAGCGAAGCGCTTCGAACCCCATAAAACGGCGCCTAAATCCCAAAGGACTAAGGGTTGATCCCCAGACAAGGCTGGACGATGTCTATAAAATATTATTATTATCATCATTATTCTCTACAACGCACTAAACGCGAGCGAAAATGTACCCTACACACGAATACAGGTTGTGTTATAATAATGTACGTTATTGTCGCAATATATGATCGGTATTGTTCATACAATATACTGCATATGAAATTCAATGTTCAGTGGACCTCGTTATCTTTTCTTATAGGTACATATAAATACACAGACCGACAATTTTAACATTTTATTCGTTGCCTCGAAAATGTTACTTATTACAAATGCACAATCAGTGTGCATCACAATCATTATGGTGTTTTTCGATTGGTTTTAGTTTTGGGAATCCGGTCTAGTATTTCGGACATCTGTCAACAATGGCTTATTTTTTGAAAAATATTATTTAAATTTAACAATAATTGTATTCATTTTCTGTTATTAAAACTTATAGTGCTCGCAGGACGTATAACTACAAATTCAATTTTCGTTCATGTTTACAATTGAAATGGTTATCAAAACAAAGTAATATTTCTAGGTCCACACAATCCCTAGATAACCTAAAGTGATTACGGTATGCTTATAATTTTATTAACTATCTACCTTGTATACCGCGGTTACAAGATAGCTGCATGTAGGAATTAACGTAGTTATAATAATATATATGTAAATGGGATCCATTCCTTAAGTCTACAGCGGAACGTTTAATACGCATTTAAACATGTGATCGACGACAGGATTATAAACTCAAAATGTATTGTTAACTGTCATTTAAATCTGACAGCCAATAATTATTGTATATTATAGAATACACGATTGGTATAAGGTATTATATTTGTATGGCAACGAATTAAATTTAAGTTTTAATAATAATTATTTTATAGCTTGCCTTTATTTACTGACATATTATATAGGTAATGGAAATGTGTACTAATCAGGACTTTGTATACAAAATAAGATAAACTAAAATGTGTCCATTGAAAGCGTTTTGTTCTTTTCAAATATTCATTTATAATACTATAAAAAATGTTAAATAACGATTGAATTTACTTTTTTTCATTTATTATTAACATATCAATTAAAATGTAAATGATCAAACAATCAATCCGAATACCATTTGTATAATTTAATTATATACTACTTTGATAGCATAAAGCTATTGCTTACCCATTGAAAAATATTTTAGAATGAATGATCTATTTATATATATATATACTCTGATAAAAAAAGTAGGTCAGATGTAAAGCCGAGAATAAAAAAAGAAACTAAACTGTCCTTTAGTCGGATTGAAAACCAAATCACTCCCGTGAACTTTTATCCTACCTTGATTGAATTTTAATACAGCATAGTGGTTTTATTATAATATATAGGGTCGCTCTGTAGGTTTTAGGATAAGCGTTATAAATAATTCAGCATTTTTCAGATCAATTTGGGCGGAAATTATAGGATTTTTATTAGGCCTTAATTAATTCTTACAACCTCAACTAGAAAACTTGTATTACCATTTTTTATTCAAATTAACATGTGGTTTGATTTGTTTTTTTTCAAATGGTAAAAAATAAAATATATAAAATACATGTATACTAATTTAAAACCAATATCGTTTACAATATTCCACTATACTGATTTTGTAATTTAATCGCATATCTTTACCATTTAGTTTATAATACATCGCATTTAATTTTTGAACTAATTGTATTTGCACAATTTAATTTAAAAAATGACAGTTTTAAAAGTTCAATTAAGATAACTTAATAAATTCGAATAAATAACTTCCAGGCGTTTGAAACGCGTAATGACTAAAATTAACGTCTTTAAACTAAACAATTAATCTTCGAACCCAACGTAACAATAAATGTCTAAATAGTTTATATATTTTCAGATATTAAAGAAAAATAGATTTCACCATGTTGCAAAATTATATTAACAAATATTTTAAATTGAGAGTAAATGTTGGTTGTTACACTTTCTTAACCTCTCCAAGAAAACAATTTGAAAACAAATATATAAAAATTACAAAATTCTCAAAAGTATAAAAGAAAAGTCGGTTAACATTAAAAAAATAATAATTCCTTTAACTTTCAAAATGTTTTAAAAAATATTATAATTCATATTTTTAAAATTGAGTATTTAGTTTTTTCTATGACATCTAATGAATTGTTTTTGTTTTTTGTTTTTAGGAGTTGGTCGTGATCACGCCAAATGAGAGAAACTGGCGAGGCATACTTATTGCTTTGTTGGTCATCATAGCCGTATTAGGCTTGATTATATTCTTCATCGTTCTACTGTCACCGCCATATCAAGGACCCAGAAACCTAGGCAGTAAGTTTACTGTCGAGCAGATCGTAGGGGACACGTTCAAAGCACCGCCATTCAACGGGTCTTGGATTTCAAGTGAGTTATACTCAACATTATAACACCTTAAACAAAACATAAAAAATAAAAAGTAAATTTCAATGTATTGTGAGTGATGCTCATTAGTTTTTTTTAAATAAAGTACATTTAAAACTCTTAAAACAAATACAGAGAGAAAATTGATTCACTGATATTAACTAATATTTGTATTTAACATTACAAATGTATTCAAATGCAATATTAAATAACTACTCAATGTATTTATTGGTTTACTAAATTTTTTAATCGTATACTCGATAACCTCAAATTGTTTTTTTTTTTTCGATGTATATACATTTTTTAACTAAATTTGTTTACTCGTTTTATTTGATTAAATTCGATTTATTTATCAATTTATTCACTCAATTTATATAAGTTAGGTAATTCAATGAACGCGAGTTTTTTACCCATTTCCTCGTTTTATGTACTCAATTATTCGATTTGTTGCAAGGGTCCGGATATTGTTCCTAAATCGAAAAATATTCTGATTCTGATAATTCTGGTTGCACAGATTAGTAAATGGGACGCTTTTGATCTTTCTCAGAACTGTTATCTTCATTGGTGTAATCAGAATTTTTTTCTCGAAATTACTCCGGAATTGTTCAAGTATATTTGAATCTTCTGTAATCAAGCAGCCATTGACATATTTTATTATGCAGCCTTTGGCTTTAAACCCCCCTTTGAACGAGCTGTATTTTTCGAAAAACAGTCGTGGCTTCATATAATATTCTTCTATGCTCATTATTATTTTTTCATACTCTCTCTTTTCCCCTCTTATTTTCTCACTTGCTATTTTGTTGAATTCTTGATATTCTACTACATTTTTAGGTGTTGGGTTTTAAAATTGTAATTAATTTTTTTACTGGCGTTGCTTCGCTTTTCTGTAATATCTCAACAATCGTCATTAAACCACGGCTTCTTTTTAGTAACTCTTTAGTAACTTTTTACCAACTCATTTAATAGACTTATTTACGCACTTGTTTTATTTATACACATGTTTATTCAATTTATTAACTTGGTTTATTTACTCCTTGGCTAGATGTATTTAGTATTTACTCGATTTATTCACACGTTAATTACTCTGTTGATTAACTCGAATTGTTAACTTAGTTTATTTAATTACAAGTTTTGTTTACACGTTTACTCAATTTGTTAACTCATTTAAATAATATTGAATTTGATTCTGGTAATTTTTTTAAGTGAGTCCACACAAAATATTAACATAGATAATATAGTATTTCTGATACCATAAAGTAAAATAATACATCTTTCCATACATTCAATTTTCATACTTAAAAACGTTACTTCTGGCGATTCTTAAAAGTTTGCTAGTGTACAATTACATTAAGTTTATATCACTACAGGCTATTTTGACACCTAAGGAACCATACATTTTTTTAACATATCCATTCCGTATATTTTTAATAGTCTAAGGTTTTTTAAGTTATAATTATTACAGTCTTTTTAAGATTTCTTTTTCACAACTGTTAAATGTCCTTAAAAATATAACTTTAATTTTTATTTTTATTATATTAAACCCGTCACCCTAATAATAATTTAATGAGTAATTTATGCGTGAAAAATTCGAATTATTTTCTATGTTCACTTATAATTATGAGATGAGTTAGACATTTTTATTAAAAAGAAAATTGTGCAAAAAATAAAAATACATTATATTATTATTTATAGTGGTTGTGCTAAATAGTTATATTTCAATCTGAAGAATTTAATACTCGTTATAAATTACATATTTTATTCTGTATAATCGTTATGCTTAAATAGATGTTGCGTTAAGACGCTGTAATAAAAGAATAATAGCATTCTTAAAGTGAAGAAAAATATGATAAATATCAACAAAATTAAATTTCGTGTTATAAAATAATAATAATTTGTTGAAAAAAAATACATTTATTTTTAAATAAACTAAACGGCATAGAAATGTTACTAATGCTTGTAGAAAAGACATATTGTTTATTTTAACCACCGCTATACTTATCCCGGTGGGCGTAGCGTTATTTTAATATAGATTTTTTGAGAATTCCCGCCTTTTGTAATAATATAACCAGTCCATTTGCATTTATACTTTCTACTGATCACGAATTCTACGAATTGTAAATTATTTGTCAGGCATGTAGTATATATAGAGTAGTGTATATTATACAGAACGCACACTCCTACCATAATACAACAATCAAAATTCTAAAATGTTTTTCTGGAAACCTCTATAAAATAATTAAACAAGTATTGTAATTTTCAATTAATTGTGATAGTAAAATATACTATTCAAATCAATTTTTATTAATGTCTATATTTTATATATTACATTCATTTTATATTGTTACTTTTTTTATTAAAATTAATATTTATAGCACGTCATAATTTATAAGGTATAATTATTTAGGTGTAAATTTGTTAAAGTTTGTAATGGGGTTCGTTTATATTATTTTTAAATTGAATGGTTTTTATTATAATAATTTATTCAGTTTATTTATTTAAATTCGCATTAATCAGTGACAATATAAGAAATGTATAATAATAAAACAGCTTACATATTATGATAATAAATTTAAGTAATTTTTTTTTTTTTGAATTGAACAAGATTTTTATTAAATAGAAAATTGTTGTTTTTTATCTCACGAGACATACAAATTCATAAAACATTTTATTTATTTATTATAATATATACGAGCATGTGCCCTTTGATTACAGAAAAATACACAATTAAACACATAATTACAAATAATAGTAAACATTTACAAATTACAATTTATGATTTAAAAATAGAGTTTAAAAAAGAAGGATCCACATTGGTGGAAGCCATCATCCGTCTAATGGGCTCATTAAGCATAAAGCTCATTAAGCAGAAAACCGGGAAGATCATTGAGGAACCTTAAAACATAAAAGAGAGATAAGGACAGAGGAATCTATTTTATTGCTTAACAGACCATTTAAGAATGAGATCCCCGTGGAACGCCTACACTCAGCTAGGGTTGGCAGTCCAAGAACGTCAGATTCCGGGTTATAGTTGTGCGACTCACATGGAATGTGTAGTAAATGGCTTGCAAACCGTAAAAACTTTCGTTGAACCCTTTCAAGCTGCATAGAATCAGCAGCAGTGTGAGGATCCCAAACAACTGCACCATATTCCAGAATCGGTCGAACAAGTGCACAATAAAGTGACTTGATAGACATTCCTAGTCGAAAATCTTTGGCCGACATTTTAATTTAATATTATTGTGTAATAAGTGGAAATTGTTAATTCGAGATCAGATTGAGCTTAGCCAGGAATTAGCCTATTAAATTTGTTTCTGTAGTTTAGTTTAAATATTTTAAATGTCGCGGGACTTATTACGTTTCACATAATATAATATAGCTACAACGGGAAATTCGTATTAACAGTGAATAACATGATATTTTTTCTTGGGGGGACATTATTAAGGCTAGACTGGCACGAGGGTTGGCGTTCCCAGCGTTTGAACATAATTATCGTTGTTATTATTGTTACTATTGTTGTTATATACTGTAAAAGTATAATATATGACTTCCTTGCCGTCTGTTTGAAACGTGGTTACTCCGTATTGCTCAGCGTGTATTATTATTATTATAGTGTAAGTCGATCACGCACGTTGAAATTATTATCGTTGGATTGAAGTACACAAACCCGAGTAACATCCGACAAGAGTTTTCTTCAGACTGTATAGGGTTCGAAGGATTAGCAATTATTTTTGTAAATTTAATTTTAGTTTGGCGCACTACGCCGAGTACATTATTGTAATAATATTAACGATAATACTATATTATTCTAGTATAATATAATGTTATCAAAATAGCGTGTGTGAGAGTTTGTGTGCATTGTACGCTGTTTGGTTACGGTTAGTGTTTTCCGTTGATAACGAGACGTTTTGTCAGCCGTAGAAGTGTTTGGGGGGGGGGGGTCAGGAGGATCTAACAAAATCGCCCTAGTGCAATATTCTCTCGTTGGCGGCGTTTGCTTTGCCGCTTTGGGCAACGACTTATTGCCGTGTTTTCCAACAATAATGATGATAACAATTATTATTATTCTACCATGTGTATATGTATGGCCGAGTGATTGTGATTTTGACAAGCTGCTGTTATAATAACATGTTTTTATGGCAACACGTGCCGGTTTCAAAAGCCACCGATCCGCTGTGGTTCTCTGAAACTTAGGGAGATACTGTGTTGCCCGAAATATATACTATGTAGACGACTTTAGGCTTCTACCGCACCTCCTCGACAGGAGCGGGTAACGCTAATCGGCATTGCCCAAAACCGTCCGGGAAAATCACTTTGTGTCTTGCCGGCAATTAATTATTCAATCAGTTACACTGTGTACACACTTTTCATCGGCTCCAAAACGCACCTGATTCAACAAATATTCGCGTTTAACATATAATTGCCAGAAAAGTTTGAATTTCTATATTACATCGTTATTCTAACACTCTCGTTTGTGTCTACCTAAACAACATAAGACCTTCGAGCATCTTGACTCGCAATGCTTTTCAAACAGTATGTTATAAAATAACATACTGTAAGAAAAAAAAATTTAATTAAATGTTATAATATAGAGATGAATAAAACGTAAGAGATACGAGTAGAGACTGAATGTAAAAGTTTAACATGGATTTAAACTTTTTAACTTGAATAGTTATTTTTTTGTTATTGTCAACAATATTATCCTTAAACACTTAACTTTTTAGTACCTAGATTAACAGATAAGTTATGTTTAAAATATACATCGTTGTCCTAAAATCCTAAGACCAGTCCAGAAAGTAAAAGACATTTTCTTAGACCCTGAAGATATAGATTTAACGCAGTTTTAAGTCTGTATACTGCGTGATAGATTGTGATTTATGTCCGAGATATAGTGCACATAATGTATGAGCACAAAATCAAACAGAAGCAAAATCTTATTAAGTTTTATAAAACAAATATTTTCTCAGCGCCACATCCGAATTAAAACACTTCTAACACAATAATATCGCTACTGTCTGGAACAACGTTTATGGTAATTATAAAAAAAAAAACTTGACGTATGAACAACGTAATGTGGATAGATTTAACTACCTACACACGTATGTAGCCTTATTGCCTACATAGAACGCCGTTCGTAGAATTTACATGCCGGCTATAAACAAGAAAGTTGGAGTTTGTCAATTTTTTCGATTTCCATTTGTCCCTATTGGACGTTGACAGTTTGTGCTTCGTGTCGCCGTCATAATAAAACAATATTTTATCGTATACACTGGCACCTGCGTCGCCTAACCTGTCCCGGTCACAGTTTTATTTTTCATATAAATAACTGTTTAGATAGTTGTTTTGACATCACCTGTGTGAATAATTAATCCCAGTCAGCGCAGTATGTCATAGTTGGTCATGCATAGTGTCAAACATTCGAGTAACATTTTAACTCTATTTTTAAAATAACATATTTTGTTTCTGCTGTATGTAAGAATTGGAAAAATAATACAAGTGTTATCAGCTACCTTTTTATCTGAGATTACCGCAGGTACAATAGCCAATGGTTAATTGAATTCCGTTTTGTTTCATCGATATTTATAATACATAGAATAATATGGTTTGTAGATAAAACTTCCTTTATTGTTATATTAAACCTTGAATACTCAACATGTGGTTCTGGTTACCAATTTGAGTCAACTAACATCATGTAAGTTATAATACAATTATTTTGCGCCTGCATCACTTACATGATCGTTCGTCCTTTGTCGTTAATTTAATTTGTAGTCAGAATTTAATAATAGTTGACTCGGTGTAACTCGCCGCTATTCTGTCTATTGATTTTTGAGATAAAAGTCAACCAGAGTCGTTCAATGTCGTCCAACATCGATGGAAGTACATTAGTTTTAATTAATAAAGAAAAGATTACTTTTTATACTTGATACTAAATGTCACTAAACTTTATTGTAGTTAAGATGACGACGGCCGGTGTGTTAACAGTTTGATCTTACACATTATATATATTATGTTCTAAACAGAGTCGTGCGAATAATCGTGTAGCCTCTATATCTAAGCGTCCCAAATGACAATTTATTGATTTTGATATTATAAACCAATAAGAGTGATTACAAATGTATACCACAATATTACACACTGCATAATAATATAATATTTAATTATAATTATTTATACAACCAAAAGACATTTGAAAATAATATTGGAACTATTTTTTTGTTTTTTAAGCGTTTAAAACATAAAATCAATTTTATGTTTAAGTTATTCTAATAAAAAAATTCAAAATTACTTGTTAAAAAATGTCTATAGTGATATTAAAAAAATACAAAAAACTTTTTATTATTCATATGATATGAATCATTATTTGAAGATCAAAAACTTCTCCGGACAACGACCATGAGCAGCTAGGCTGCGACAACGTTGGTTAAATAGAGTAGAACAAAGTATTAGAGTTGTTGATGAATCAGCTAGGCTGGTGGAATCCCTAGACAGAGCTGGATGGAGAAGTTTAGTGGAAGCTGTTAAGAGACTTAAAAGGTTTGTGGAGCAAAAGAAAAAAATACATAATTGTTCAACGTGTAGTATCTTGCTTCCAATTTATGAACCCATAAAAGTTGATGTTATGTTTCTTAGCTTTTTATAGTATTTCGGAATAACTTTGTGGGTTTTATTATGTAATTCAGCTTAACTTATTAAACGATATTCGTGAGAAAAGTAATCTTGTCTACATTATTTTACTCGGAATTATGTTTATAAATTATCTTGTCTGTTTTAGTAGTATGGTTTTCAAACCATTACATAGGCAAACAAACATTAGTTTTTCACAAATAATTATAAAGATTTTATTTTGTAATTTATTAGTACTATGTAAAAATGTAATTACTTTAATCAAGTATTTTTAATTAAAAAAAAAAAACGGCAGAAAATATGTGCAATATAAATTTCTAAGTATTACTTTTAACTTATAATAGCTTTTGTTTTACATATACTTTCGGTTGATGTAAACAAAAACAAGGTATGACAAGCTTATTATAATATAAGTTGTTCAGTTTGAGAAAAATATTATGTACATCAAGCAAAATACATTTTGGCGGTGGCTGTAATAACATAATCGTATATAAGCGGAATAAAAAAAATACTCTCACGATATTAAAACAAATTTAAAGGAGTATGCAATGAGGCATAAAACAGAGGATGGAATTCACTATAGGTATTAGAGTGAGCTAACAGCGTTAAACATTTTGTTAGTTTCGGTTTTCGTGAAATTTGATAATTTAATATAAAATGCTTGATTAATAATTTAATAATTATATACTTAAACGTAAGATAATAATTTAAATCTACATGAAACTATATTTAAGTAACAGGACTAGACATGTATTGTATATATTGATTAAATATGAGAGCAGTGTTAGAGGTTGAGTTTTATAATTTGGGAATTTAAAATTGTATATTATTTTTGTGCTATTGGGAAAAAAGTTTGACCGGCTATACCTAATCAATTGAAAATGATTTGCACTGCCACTGAATGCAAATTAAAACTTTAAAATAAATATAATGGATTAATATTTCTAAAAAAAAATGTAGTCGCCGGATAATCTACTTGGATCATTTTCTAAGAAGAAAACGGTAAAATCTTCTAAATTGATCTATTTTTTTTTCTTGTTCTTATTTTTAACTAGATGTTGTAAGCTAAGTAAAATGGACCGGTTTTCAGTGTTAATACTATTGCATTTTTTCAGACGTCGAGCTCGTGATTCGAGACACTCACGGTGGCGTCAGTGTTTACAACGTCGAAACCAACAAGCACAGGGTACTACTCACCAGTTCTTCGTTTGTAAGTATAATAACTATTTGATTATCGATTGCGGCCCGTCTAGCGGCTTAACGGGCCAATACACGTATGCGCTATTAATCGTGTCGCTATAGAGTAAATGATTGTTTTTAAAATAATAATAATATCAGCATTGTCATAGCGGAAACAAAAAACGCGTTGATCGAGAGCGCCTATAAAGAAAAGCGCCAGGCCTTTCAAACAGCCGTGTCTTTAATCTCGATGACAATAATAATTTATCATCAATATCGTATCGAACCCATTGTGTTATTGTTAATCGCCTGTATAGAATACCGTCATTGAAAAACGTCAGCACGGAAGAGTAATGACATATTTTATTTATTCAATATCCGTTACTCATCACGGCAAATAACACATAATTGTTATGCTTGTTATGAAATACTATGGTAGTGTTTTTTTTTTTTTTTTTAAGCATCCCGTTTAGTAAAAAAATACTTGAGTATCGGCTGCAATTTGCATTTAACTATATGAATTCGATATCCATTAACCAACTTGAAATGAGTAATTAAAACAACTTATTCAATTTGTTTGGGACAACACTATTATGCGTTTAACATTGTGAATTGGCTTGATCGCGACAGTGTTGACTGACTTAATGCATTTGAAACGTATGAAATATTTTGCTAACGTGATCGAGGAGAAAACATTCTATATTTATGCGACTCTTATGTTGTTTTATTATGATTGAAAGGCCAAAAAATAAATTATTATTCTTTTTTTCAAGTCTATGCGCCAGTGTTTATTTATTGCTTTTACTCTGTCAGATTTTGTCATTTTTTTTATTATTTACAAAAACGTCACTTTCTTTTATTAAATTGCTAAATCTTCCATATAATCACTTTTATATTATCTTTTAAACGGCCATAAAAACTGATGGTTTTACGCAGTCTCGTTAAAACGTTTTATTGCATTGTCCCTATTTTTCTTTCACTCGGCACAGTTTAATAATAAAAGATAAAATAGAAAATCAGCTTAATTAAATTGACTGTTTTATAGGATTATATGAAATATCTTATTAAACTATTATAACAACTAGAATATGTGCCTTATAATAGACATTTGAGGCTCTAATTTTGACCACTTTTCCCTCTGTCAACCTCCACATCTAAATCCCTCTTTATAACGTGTTTTCCTATTTCACTTTCCTCTCTTCTTTTAACATTCCCAAACCATCTTTATCTATTCTCTCACATTTTCTCTACCATCGACGCAGCGCCCAAACCTCTTTTCATGTACACATTTAATTTCAACATTTTTATTTCAGGTATGTATCTTCCATATATTTATGTCAGTGCCAAACTTCTATATAAATATATGCCTTTATTTTAATATATAATGTGGTCTAGTTTATTGTCGAAAATATACAACATAGGACTTTGATACAAGATATTTTATGATTGCGTTTGTTTCCAGTTATAAAAGTTGTTTTTATTTATTTTCAATTTCAGAAACGCGTCAACGCCATTGATTTCCAAGTGTCAAGTGATCAAAATTTTGTACTGCTCGCGTCAGACGTTAAAAAAGTGAGTACGCTCAAAATCTGGCTGGCGCTTGCTTTTTCAATGACACGTTTATGTATTGCAAAAATGGCCGATATTATCATGGAACGTGTAAACGTCAGTGGTTCTGGAGATCAGGGAGTTTTTGATTTATGAACGGCACAGATAAATAGAGCGAACGAGTTGCGTTCATAATATGACATAAATATGTGCTAAAGGCAATTTGCGTTTTTTTTTTTTTATTTCGTTTTTACCGTACATTCGACTGAACCGGGAGATTGCTCTACTGTCTTTACTTTTATTTAAAATATGTATGTGGATATATATGTACTTATTCATTTCAGCGAAAAATCGCTTCATACACTTATGAACACCAAAAAGCGGTACTACAAATCTGCCGTGAAAGTAGGTATAAATCCAAATGCACGAATGCGCCCACACACTGCCTTGTCTGTAAACGTACACCAAATGAACTGTAAAGACAAAAAGTTTTTGGCCAACAACCACTACTTAACGTTTTCTGAACGATTTAACCCGCACTTGGGATCCATTCGTTACCGCATACGGTAGACCGTTTTGTTGTGTACCCATGAACATAAAGTCCAAATATTACATACAATAAGTACCAACGAGGAATCGTTATTTTTTGTCTTACTTTTCACTTTCCAAGACAAGGTACTTTTTGCCGTCCCAGACCGAACAAGATTCTCACCATATTTATACATACGTGTTATGATCATCATCCATCGGCCAAAAAGGAAAATATTAACCATTTTTATAACCCAGTCAATCGAATCATCATCATTATTCCATGGATAGTTTTCGAAGCGCTAATAATATAGGCCATACTTTAGGTTTGCCGTTTTGATTGTATATTTACCAAAAATAGTAGCTGTGCCGTCGAACTCTTATACTTGTCTAACGGATTTCAAAAAATTAAGAGTGAAAATATTGGCAAAAAAAGATAAATAAGAATGTCCAATGCCACTTAACCCGTATTGATAACATAATACTATAGGTATAGTCTAATGGAAACTTCTTGGCCACGAGGCATGAGTGTGAAGTCTGATTTATGTTAGAAATAGAAGTGGCATGTTTTGTGAATAGTGTTGATGGACGATAAAGTTCAAATTGATGTTTCATTTGCAAAAGCCGAATGAAAGTTTTTTGTCAAAGTCAAAACGCACTGTACTCAAAATTGTTCTCGGTTTTCTTTGCCTATATATTTGACATGAACTAGAAAAAAAAATGTTTCTAAAATAAAAAAAAACGTACCATAACCTTTCGAAAGAATGGAAAAATGTACACTCTGTAATTTATTTAAAGCAGTGATGAATGATGTGGTTTGACGGCGTGTCTTAAATAACACACAATCTATCGAATCTGCGCCCGAAATTAACTTTCTTCTATTATTATTATTATTATTATTAGCAGCAAATTATTGAGCTTGAACTTTTGTGTAGGGATAAATTAACTTTGAGAAGCCAGCAATAAAAATATTCATAAAATAAAAAGTACTATTCGTTAAGAAAGTTGATAAAAAGGCATAAAATGATTGTCGTAAAAAATCCTTATAACAATCTCAACATGTATAATAAAAATTGTATTACAGGGTTGGATAAGAAATTAATAAAATTTAGATTCATTAAAATTTAATTGACCAATCTCAGGCCACTAAATAATGTTTAAGGATACATTTAATTTATATTGATTCATTAAACTTTTATTAAACGTTCACGGAACTATCCTTCGTAAAAGCTAAATAATTATTTAGCTCCCAAGCGATTTTTCTTAAGAGTGGTTTCAAATATTTAAAAAGGATTTTACATCTCCAAGTTACTTTACTCTTCTATAAACTCGATCTCCGAATATTTTACACATACATAATCAATTAATACCAGCTAGTATACAATGAGGTAACTTTATTTAAATCCATTTATTGTGCTATTCAATAGTGATTTATTTCTATTTTTTTTTAATAAAGAAAATTGTTTTTTTCCAAAATCTGAAAAAAAAAATGTTTAATTTCAGTTTTCTTATTAAAAAATTTAAATGAAAAATAAAACATATTATGGTAAATTTTGATTTTTTGCATATTTTGGAAGTAAAAAGTGAAAAATGTTCCTTACGAATAACATTAAAAATAATACACGGGCATAGTGTGGACGCAGTGTGCCACGAGGCATCTGAGGTTAAGCTGTGCCCGTTACTGATTGATCCAGGATGGGTGACCACCCGGGAAAATTTTCATTGTTTAAAAAAAAATAGAAATAATTCTCGGCCCACTCCCGTTATTAGACGAAAAAATTTGATTTTAAGACTCTGATTTTATGAAAAAAATTTCAGAAATTTAAAACTGGTCGAAATCTATTTTTTTTTTAAATAACTTTAATAACATCTCTTTTTGGGGCAAAAATTAGTGATAAAAATTAAAAAAAAAAAAAATCTTATATTAGACCAAAAAAAGTTAAAAAAAAAAATTTCAAACGAATTTGAAGAGCTCAGGCCGATGACCGCGTGGTTTGACTCAGAATGTCCCATATATATATTATATATAATAAATACTTTTATAAAAGTTTAGTTGAACTTTTGATGGGTTCAAACTTCGCTAATATTGTAAGTGTCGACTTTCCATGTCGAGGGACGGTCTCGGTTTTTCTGACAAAATCGTGTTGGCTATTTGATGAATTTCCAATAGTTGAAAATCCAACGCGTGTAGTTTGAAAATGGTACTATTAATTTAATGACCCGACGGACGACCAAAGCCAAAAGGGCGTCAGTAGGTATATAATTATTATGTAGGTAACAGCTTAATAATTTCAATGCGCACACACTTTAATGGAATTAGCTGGTACTATATCGACTAATTCGGTTCGAAACCAAAAGACATTTTCATTTATTCAAACAAAATGCGAAAACAAGAAAAACTGAAAGCACTACGGCGTTGTGGTGGTGCTCCAGGAAATTAGTTTACCCTTTGATGGAGAGACGCTTTTCGGGTTCGTGTTTCATTATAACCCAACTGCGAAACCGCCTAGAACGTGTGTACACTGTATAATATTATATAAATTAAACTTGTACTGTTAAATTGCACATGTCACTCACCCGGTGTGTTTAACAACTGTCATTTAATTCCATCGTTTCCTATCACATTCGTGTAGGCTTGTACAGAGGATATTACGAAGTCGTAAACACAATTTCGAATAAATATTAAATATAAGTCGCTGGATGCACTGTATTCGTGTCTATTGACAAACAACCAGCAAAAATAAGTCAAGTAATAAGCCAGGAAGGGGCGGTATCGCACTCCCAAGAAAACGCTTCGAACCAATGATACTTCGGATTGGACAAGTGTGGATTCAGATTGATGGATTTTAGTTTTGTTTTATGCAAGTAAAACAATAAAATAGGAAATGTAATTGACATAATATGATAATTTGGAAATTACAATAGTATTTTTTATGACAGGAAGTTTTCATATATTTTATTTCCTCGTACTTACGCTTCTCGTTTGAAAATAAAATCGTTTGTAAATAAATTTCTAACATTTTGGTCTAACGCGTATTTCATATCATCGTCGTACAAAGATAGAAACAACGCGTTCGGGTTAAAGATTATGATGATGGCAGAAGAATAATAGGTTTTTAAAAGCAAATTTACATTTTTATTACGGTTGTTGAACAAGAACCCGCTGTATAATATGTGATTTAATCGTACCAAGATTTTATACTGAGTGTACCTTTACGGCAGAACTTATACCTTAACAAATAAGGTCTATTCCCTGTCGTTCGCTGTTTGTGTGCGTTTAATTCGCATTTGATTGACGGTACAAATGCAATATAGTGATGTTGACTACATTTTCGTTTCAAGTTATACACACTGCCATGTTTATCAACATAATTAATAATGCTGTATAACGCATTGTACAGCTTTCATTAACAGAATACTTAAAGTATCAAAAAGGCCTATAAGAGGAGGGGTTATCTATCGAATCGTACAAAGGAAAACTTTAAGACATTTTGTTGTAATTAAATATAAATTGTTGCATTTGACCAGACCTATCCTAACTATGAACGTTTCTTCTGCATATAAGTAACATATGAAATGTGTTCACTTATAATTAATAGTGAAATAAATTTGAATTTTCAAAACAACAATTTCCATTTTAAATACATCTGAAAATAAAGTACATTTTGTTTAATATATATATATTTATAAATGTTTTAGTTTAAAAACGATTAGAAATAGTTATAGTAGGAAAACTGACGTTGATTTAATTTTTTTACTTTTGAACAAGTTTTTACAATCAGACCTGAACAAGCTTTACCATCAAAAATTAAAACGAAAATAAAAAAAAATTACATATTCATACGGGTTAACAATAACCACCAAATAGATAGTGAATAAATAATAATAGTGTTATTGTAAGGTAATTTATTTAAAAAATGAAACATTGTTTTGCAATTAATATTTTTTCCACCTTATATTATTTTGTTTATTGATACATGAATACGTTAATAAGTTATTATAGTTAGCTATAATCGATTTCACATTATATAAACTAAACAATGATGAAGCGTTTTTATATTTTTTACATGAATAAATTATTTTTAATAATATGCTGAATTTCCATAATTCTATTATTATTTCCATCGGATATTTATCATGCGATTTTTCACATGACGTCCAAAATAATAATGTTGTGTATTAGATTTGAAATTGATGCATTTTTTTTGATGATTCCTCAACGTTGTGTAAAATAATCCGGTACGATCGGCTCATAGTCGATGGAATATCATTTTAATAATCCGGTTGCAGATCATTGGAATTTGCATAAGTCAATTTATAATGCGGATGTTTATCCGCATTGTGTATAGAGATTGGTAAGAGGTAGTTAGAACAATTTCAGAATTAGGCCACAGTTATTGTACAGTAATAATTCGTTTAATTTCAACGCATATAGCCGAAAAGTTATTGCGGGATAAATGATAGATTCTATTCGTCCCCACTATGCTATATTTTTTCTTTGTTTATCTGTATTATATTTTGGTTTTGTTTAAACTCCAGGTGCACACAAACACCCGAGAAGCCAAGTATCACGTGTTCGAAGTAGCTACACAGTGAGTTGAAAAAACCAAACACAAATATTATTGTTGTTAGGCACATATTGTTTAATGCGATTTCATTTTTATTTTACAGAAATGGCGTGTCGCTTACGACCGTACCCAAGTCAATGGACGACAACGACGCCATTTTTGTGCAAAGGGTACAATGGTCACCGACGGGCAATGGACTTGTGTTTGTGCACAAGAACGACGTTTACTATAAAATGCAAGCAGCTCGATCGGGCAAGATCGTCAGGATCACGTGGACCGGATCATCAATAGTTTACAACGGAGTGCCGGATTGGTTGTACCAAGGTAGGTGTTGTCCGTATTAAGTGCAGACTGGAGTAATCCGAAAAAATATAGTTGAGTAGCAGTATAACTTGGAAAAACCACGTGCACTAAAGATTTAGTCAAGTGTAAAATTAGTCCTGTGACTTCAATAGTAAAGACGATTGGAAAATCAAAAATGCGTGGAAATCTGTAACTTCTCAGAGAAAAAGGGAAAATAATAAATACAAATTTTTAAAACGACTAAAGATGCGGTAGAGACAGAAAATGAAAACTTGAGGTGCGGAAAATCCAAGGAAGAACTTAACGCGTAGACAAATATAGAACAGCACATTCCAATAATATGCACCAAAACATTTTTAATTTCTTTATGCTTCGATTCAATGAACCGTCCAATCTAAATAATAATAATTCAGAATAGTTGTACGTATTAATTGTTATACACATTAATATTCTACTAGAATTATTTTTACTTCTACAATTATTATTTGGCTCCTACTCTTGCCAACGAGACTAATTACACGGATCTTAATATGATAAAAAGCCACTCACTGTTTAATGCAAATACGCTACAAGACACCGTTGCCGTGTTATCGAACATTGTTTTATCGTTATGATGATTTTGTTGTTTTAAAAACTAACTAAGGTACCGACTGGCGAAAATGCCGTTTAAATAATATCTTAGTCGCCAAAAACTTTCGACTTTAATTGCTCGATGGTGTTTCGTTTATATATAATATAACGGGAAGCCCATTTTGTTGCAAACACACTGGCACATCTCCCCGAGAGAGTGCGTTAGCAATAATAAACTTTCGAGAGTAAATAAATAAATAATGGGCCGGAAAGTGGAGATCATAATATTATACCCTAAGGCGGCATAACTCAAAACACGTGATGCGTCTTGCCCGCATTGTTAGGTACATTTTTAGTTGAAAACGATTTATTTGTGTTTGCTCCACGCCAAGTTCCCGGTACATGTCGTACATTATAATTTTATGAACACGGGCGGATATGGACTGTTCTGAAGTAGTTAAAGCGCACTAACCGTTTTGCCATATGTTATCATTTACCACGAGGAGGTAAATTAATAACTTTATCTCCGTATATTATGATAATAAAACAAAAATAACTGTAATAATAATAATGATAAATTTTTTATTGTTATACGGTTTACTTGTGGTTGAAAACAATTCAATTTGTTTTATTACTTCAGAGGAGATTTTCAAGTCGGACAAGGCGTTTTGGTTTTCACCGACCGGCCGGTACTTGGCGTTTGCGACGTTCAACGACACGCTGGTTGGCGAATACAAATATCCTGTGTACAACACCAGGTCTCAGTATCCGTACTACCAATCGCTGCGTTATCCCAAGGTAAAAAATGAACTAATAGTCAATACTTTGGCGTGTAGTATTAAAATCAATTTTTGACAATTTTGTAACCATAGCGGTCACCTCGATTTTTTATAGTGAACTTTAACAACATTTTTATTTCCACACGACTGTTTAATTTGTTGTAAACCGTTTGTTTTAGACCGGCACGCCTAATCCTGCGGTCACTGTTTGGCTGACGGACTTGCGAAACGGCAGCACGTTGGACTTGACGACAATCAGCAAACCGCAAGCGTTGCATTTGGAAAGGTTCGGCGGCGACAAACGATTATTACATTGTTATTATTATGTCGCGGTGTAATGATTAATCAATTATCGCGTTTCCGGATTTTCAGTGAACCGTATCTGATGCACGTGAAATGGGCCAGTGACCGGCTGATGGCGGTCGTTTGGATGAATAGAAAACAAACCATAATGGTCATATCCGTGTGTTCCGAACCCAGCTGGGAATGTCACGACGTGAGTCCAATTTGAATCGTTCGCAATAATAGTTACCGATTAATAATTGCTATGTTGTAACTGTTCAAGCGACTTTTCGTTTAAGTTAGTTTTATTATATTTCGCCGTTAATGCTTTGTCAGCGATGGCAACGAATTGACCGGGCTCGTGTGTAGCATTCAGTTTTCGACTGGGGAAAAAGACTTCTTAACTTTTTTTTTTTTTTTGGAAACAGCCACGTTATTTTTGGGATTTTTCGTAGCGCTCATTTTAGTTATGCTCTATTATTTTAATACATTTTTTTTTTTTAATAACAAAATTTAGTTTGATAATGTGTTTTATTTTAGTCATACGTGGAAAGAATCAACGACGGGTCCGGATGGTTGGAAAGCACAGATGTGATATTTAACAAAGAGGGCACCAGCTATTTGGCTATTCTTCCAGTGTTGGACGGTCAACACGGAACGTTCCCTCACGTCTGCGTCGTGGACATATTCACTCAAGTAATGGTTCCCCTGACCAGCGGCCGTTTTTGTGTCGTCCGAATCGTCCAATGGGATCAACAGAATCAGCTAATGTATTTAGATATTTAATTATTAAAATCTTTCTGTACGTTAGTTATTTTTTTTAGAACATTTTCTAGCATTTTATGTTTAAGAAAAACGGTATTGATCATTTTGAAAATGTTATGTTGTAGAATAATATTAAGTATCATAAGATTTGTTCTCAAACAATTTTGAAGTATAACTCCATTCAAATGTCGGAACACAGTTTAATGTAAAAATATTTGAATTTAACTCGTAGATATTTCGAAGCCATACCCGAAGGAAAAGCTGCCCAACGCCATCTGTACAAAGTGTCGGACAACTTGAACAGATCAGTTAGCTGGGAGTGTTTAACGTGTCCGCCAGTGAGCGCTCCAAAAAACGAAACCAAATCCAATATTTCCACATCTTCCGATATCAGGTACAACCAAAACCAGTTGTAAATTGTACATTTAAATACCATACATTTTAAATTTGAATCATTCCCTACACCAAAAAGTAACGGAAACCAAAATAGCTCCTCATATAAGTGTTAACAATTGTGTATATTTTACATAATTTTTTAATCGATACATTTTACTTGCAGTGACTCCTTCCGACTCAGTCTCAGAGGGCTGGAATCGGCAAAAATCCCTCAGGACTCGTGGCCGGTCAGAACAAATTCGTGTTTATTCATCCGGTCGCACTTCTCGGACTTTCCAAATTCCAAATATTACGTCTTAGAATGTTTAGGTAGGGACGAAAATACATTTTAATATATAAAAACAGCTACATGTAAATAGTATTGTTTATTTTTCGGTCTTTTTGTCAGGTCCTCAAGTTCCAAAAGTGATTTTGATGAACGTCCATACAAATCAAAAAGTGATGACACTGAACAACTACACACAGTTAGCGGCCAAGTACTCTACAATGGCTAAGCCAAACATCCAAATCATGCAGGTATTAACGGGGTTTTAGCTAGCTTGACAGCTCATTTTTTGTTTTATTTAAAAATATATTATACTGAAACGCTAAATCATCTAATAGGTACCTATTACATAGATATATTATATAAATTGAATGATTTTTCTGTTCGAATAATTATGAAAAACTCTTTGCAATACATTTGTCCAACAGCTCCAACTCTGATCATTTGCACTGCATGTGTTTTTATTTTTTCAGGTGGAAATCGAAAACGGTTACATTGCCCAGACGAAGCTCATGTTGCCGCCGGCCTTCAAAGAGTATGATGAAACTGCGTTTCCGTTCATTTTATACGTGTGAGTACCGTTTAAAAGAGACACTTTTGGAAAAGAAAAATCCCCCCCCCCCGTCTTATATTCAAACAATACCGGTTTCGTATTTGATTCATAGGAAGGGGAAGCCCGGGACACAATCGGTGACCGAAGAGTGGTCGGTCGACTGGGCAACGTACTTAAGTAGCAACCGGAATATCATCATAGCCACGATAGACGGTCGCGGTACTTCGGGCCAGGGCGACAGGACCAGACAGTCCATATTTTACAAGCTAGGCATCATGGACATCCAGGATCAGTTGTCCGTTCTACTGTAAGTATTTTAATCCAAGTCAAACGTTGTGTTGACCATCGTCGTGGTCGTCGTTTGACCGAATGGCTGTGTTTTAGATATCTCAGAGACACTTTGAAGTTTATCGACAGGGATCGCATTGGGATCTGGGGAAAAGGATACGGTGGATACGCCACCGGAATGATGTTGGCCAAACAACCGGCCATATTCAGATGTGCGATAGCCACGTCTCCGGTTACGAACTGGGCACATTTCGGTAACGACAAACTATACGGTTTATAACAATCAAAGACAGGCTAAATATATAAGAGTATCGATTGATACAGGTGTTAATAAGACGTATAAATCTATTATGATGATAGATTTCCCATATAATTAATACATACCGTCATTATAAATATATGTTATAATGACATAAAAATGTATTAAGGAGTAAATATTTTGATCATTTATTATCAGCGTTTCTGCTTATCAATATTTTGCCCTTTGTACCAATGCCCCTTGTAAGTCACAATATATATATTTCTTAAGAATTTAACAAGACTATCCACAAACATGTTTTTCTATTACTAAAGAGCGCCTGATGCCGATTTAAAAATTATCGTTGAAAATTTAGATTCTGCTTGGACCGAGAAGTTTATGAGCACTCCGAACGTGACGGACAACTACCGAGGATACGAGGAATCCGACTTGAACCGAAGAGCCAAATATCTGAAAGACAAGCTATTGTTACTGATACACGGCAGCGCCGACGAAACGGTCCACTATCAACACAGTATGATGCTAATAAAAGCTTTGACTGAAAGCGGAATAATGTTCAGACATCAGGTAAACAAAATTGCTTTAAGATACTAGGTTTTTCCGCAGTACTATATTCGCCAAGTGTTAAAAAACCAATCGGCATTTAATACAAAAAAATTGAGAAAAATTCGGGTTCTTAGCATTTTAGAAATCCTTAAAAAAATACTTTGGAAATTGTGTACCAGGTTTTACCTCAAACTCCTATTTTAAAGCATTTGCGGGTTGACATTTTCAAATTTTTTTTTGGGGGGGAATTTACTTATGCTGCTCTGATATCTAAACCGGACAAACTCGAATAAACTTCGGTTAGGCCGGGTGACGTATAATGGACTTAACAATGCTTGACATTATAATTATTTGGATAATTAGATTCGCAGAGTTGATAGTTTTTAAATGTATACCTTCTAAGCTTCGCATTACAGCTACTACACATAAAAAGAAATTAAAACAAACTGGAATGAAAATTGTTTTTAAATTAATTTGTTTTCCTAATAGTATTAGTACTTATTGGTATTGTAATGTCGAATATTCGAATGTTTGAGTGTTTCCCGTCAGTAGTGAATATATCATTTGAAGTATATGATTGAACGTCACGTGTATTGTTTTTTTTTATGATTCAAGACTTATCCGGACGAAGGGCATGACTTTGACGGCGCCATAAGGCACTTATTCCTCTCGATGGAGCACTTTTGGGACGAGTGCTTTGGGCCAATTGACTTCGACGACTGGGACGAGAGCCTGAGTTTTTTCACGTTCACCCAATAACCATCACTTTTGAATTCTTACTCCGCTCCTGCGTTAGACAGTGGGGTAAAAATTCAAAAGACACATAAAAAACAAATACCACAGGGTGATTAAAATCATTTTTGTACGTGCGCGACATTAGTATTGGCCATAGCCCACAGTCGACGTAAGTACAACAAGTACACCTGCAAGTTTTGACAATCTGTTGAAAAAAAAGGCAGTGCTTTTGTATTTTGAGCTGGCCGTAATAATATCATGTTTAGCACACTATTTAAATGATTCGTGTAAATATACTATATCGTTGTTAATGTAATATTATATAAATAAGCTAACGGCAAGTCCTATATGTTTGCCACTTAAATCGTCGAAACTACAGTTAATTAATTTTACAAACAAGAACCGTACAATGTCATAAGGGACTACTTAAAATAGTTTTGCTGAAAAAACAAAAACGGCTTTGGTCTAGTTTTTTTAACGTTTATAGCGAACAAACGTATTAGGATGGCACGAGTATAAATAAAAAATAAATATTCATAAGAAACTATAATTTATAAACTTGATTTGTCGCGTGTTCATTATTTAGTTTATAGAATTAAATATTATCAGAAACGATTGCGATATCACCTAAACATGTACAAACTGTTAGCAAAAGTGTACAGAGCGTCATCAAACTAGTACAGTTTTGCTAATAGTTAAAATGTTATTTACAATAATAATTGTTATGAAATGAAGTATAATAATTCAAAGTCGTTCGAAACTAATGTTGTTGTCCATATTGTTAATGTGTATATTATTATTTTGTTTGTGTTTGTGTATGTGTTTGTTACGTGTTAAGTATTTATAAGTGTTTTTGTGTTAACCCCAAATTAGACATGGAAAAATATCGGTGTTTGGAAAAAATTGCATGCTTTTTAAGTAGCATGCTACTGCCAATCCAAATAAACGCCACTCTGAAAAAACCTGCTTTTAAAAAAATTGTATAACAACTTCAATCACCTAGTGTCTTTAAACCTAGGTATCATAATGATTTTTCGTTTCTAGTCAATTAAAAAAAAAACAACTGTTATCATTATTGTGTACTTATATATTTTTTTTTTTAATGCATTCCATTTAAAAGTGAATTCTGTGAATGCAGTGATAATACTCTTTTAGATTTCTGAATGTGAATGTTACTTTTACTCATGATCCAAACACTGAGAAACATCCATCTTTTTTGGTTATCAATAAAACCGTCGAATGCCCCATTATGTTCAATTTTATGAAATAAGATTTTATTTTTGTACATCAACAATTTTTTTAACGTTTCATTAATATAACTTTATTTGTTTTTTTATAATCCATTACAATGAAATTTGGTTTTAATATTTTTTCGTATTGTACCATAAAATATTATGTACATGAGTATAAGCATAAAGGTAAATCCAGACTGTTTAAAATTGTTTCTGTATGGTTGACATCTCAAATTTTAATTTGACGGTCTACACATTAAACAAAATATTATGTACCTAGCTTAGTTGTTGTTAACTAATGTTGTGGTCCTTATAAATTTATAACGCACTGGTTAAAGTTAAAAATATTATCACTAAAATATTACACTTTATCAAACAAATATAAAAGCCAATGATTTGTGAAAGTATTCTACTCTTTAAAAAATTTTACAAATATCGTTTTTATAATTCGTTTAAGACTTGAACAAGTTACACAGTATTTGACAGTGTAATTCCTGTCCGTTTGGATCAAATGTTATTGCGGTTATATTTATTATTATTTATTTATTGTTATTTTAATTATTTATATTATTATACTTTATCATTTATATTTATTGTTATTATTGTTATTACTATTATTATATTTAGTTAAGTTATGCTTTTTGTCGATTACTCATACATTTACTTTCCTATCTAAATTGTTGTTATGTTTGTAAATTATTTTTATTTATGTGATCTCTTAGTGGACATAATATTCTGATTTGTTTTAAGAATTCGGCTGTGTTTTTATTATGATTATTAATAATAATATAATATTATAGTTTTTTTTTATTCCTAGCGTGTATTGTATTGTATTGTATTGTGTTGTGTTGTGTTGTGTTGTTTGATAATATTTATTTAAGCCCAAAGTACCAAAGTCCGTCCAAAATATGATAGTTATATTTAATTACTCGTCTGAACGGTTAGGTTCAACGTTTATGAAGTATAACAATATTAGAGCCTTAAGTATATATGTACATAATTTGCCATTACCTATAATATTATCGACATATGATTATATTTCATCGCTTTGAAGTAGAAATTTGTTCATAACAGTACCGTTTATTGTTTTAATTAATTATGCTAAATGACATATCAATAATTCATTCGAGCCTCTTCTAAATAAAATAGGTCTCTAATCGCACTATTGTTGCTAATAACTATATTATTGGGGAAAAAAATATATCAATTAATTTTCTATTGTTGCGCTTTAAACTATGTAAGTCGACAATATAACGTTGCTTTCTCGTTATTAACGTTGTCATAATAAGTATACGCCTTTTGTTTCTCTAATTGGATTAGATATAATATATTTTGTCGAAGAATTCTGTCTTTCGGTCAACAATTTGTGTTTTGACTAACTAGAGTAGGTGAAACCCACACGCATGACGAAATTAATATGACTGTATGGTTATTAAATTCGATAGTATTGTTTAAAATTTTTCTTAAGTTCCTACAGAATTTTTGTTTTGAAAACTCGAGGATATTTGTATTTTATTATTATAAATAAATAAAACGCATCTCTTAAAGCATTTTATTGTACATAGTATAATTTAATGCTTAATATACATAACTTTAAAATTATGATTATGTATTGTTGTAAACTATTATTAACACATCGCTGTTTATCCAAAAAAAAAATATTATGATTTTAAATATATCCTTTATGTTTATGCTTTGGCTTTAAAACCATAATTAATTATCTATAATATATCAATATACCTTGTATCGGTAATAATAAATACAAATTATAAGAAATAAAACGATTTCTTCGATATGCGTTTGGTTTCATTTTAGACGAGTTGCGTATTAGCCTAATGTCTATCGCAGTTAAGTATATTATATAGATTTATCTATGATTATTATATTAATGGCTATAAATATAAAATTGTACTATAGGGTAAGTTAACGTTAGAATGTGTAGTGTGTTTTGTATATTGAAAATAAAATCGCCATATTATTATAATTGTTTTTTTGTGTGTGATAAAATATTATTATGTTTATTCTGTTTTTGATGTATGTATTACTATTATTATTATTATAAAAAAACTAATAAAACTTTCAATTCACTTTGATATAGTTTCAATGAATTTGTACTGCCCAGAACGATTTATCAAAAGAACAAAACTATGTATATTATAAACATTGGTTAATTCGTATCTATTCTGTATACGTTACATTTATATACATGTGAAAACCGTGTATCAAGTTCTAGTATAAAGTTTTCATTAGGATGAAGTATTATATAAGTTATGGATACCTGAACAATTTATAAAAAAATTATATTTTTTTTTTTAATCTTAATACCTTTTGTTATGGTATTGTTAAACCGATACCTTCGAATTAACTTAAAATTATAAAATGCAAAATATGATATTAATATTGAATACAAGAAAATTGTGTTTTTTTCAACAAAATATGGTTTAAAAAACAGGGGTTTTTGTGTCATCAGAGAAAGATATAAAATTGTTATATTCTCTATCTCAATCTTATGGTTGTAATTCAAACATTCGTCGAATACAAATCTAAAGAAATCAAGTTATAAGTGAAGCAAAAATCAGGAAACTAAACAGAGTATCCAAGTTTTCACGATTTACAATTATCGACGAGTTAAAGAATTAAAGCACATTCGGATATATAAGTAGAAAAGTTAAAAGCTATGAGTTATTTCTGCTCCAATGCGGAGCTGAGAAGGTATTGTCTTAAAAAAAAACATATCATTGTAAAAGTGATATGTTTTTTTTTGTCTAGACCAACGATATTATTTAAATCTAACCTAACTGATTTCTTCGTGTAGCAACTCTATAGATCAGAAATCTTACTTGAAAGGTACCTTATATAGAGCCAAGAATTAAACAATTTCACCCCTTCCCTTCAAAAAGCGATAAACCCGGAAAATTACATTTTTACACCAGTTAATTACAACATTTTACAAAATGACATAGTTGTCTTGGATAAAAACGGCAAAAACGTAAGACAGACACTAATCGTATCAAACAATTGTTTAGCGCATTAGAACATTTACAATGATTTTATGAATTTTTGTATTTCTATCATCCACAGATTCGCAACGAAGCGTTTATTTAAAAGTAATTTTATCACTTTCAGTTACAATAATTCCTTGGGACTGGTGACCTCCACCGCTCCAATATTTTGCATCTCCACTACGTTTATTCAAATTCAATATAAATTTGTTCGTGACTTATTACGAGAAAAAAGTATATTTTAGCACAACACGTCGATTAGTTGACACTAATGCGTTTTAATTCTGTCATGATCAAAACTGGCAAATTAAATTATTACTCTTAAAATGTAATGACTTAATAAGTATGACAAAGATTAAATTTAAATAAACGTAATTGTCAATAATTTTAATAGTGACAAACTAAAATGTTAGTACTTTAATACAATTATTGTGGGGAAGTGTTTTAAATAATTAATAAGGCCTGTTTTTTTTCTTGCCCAGCTGAAGTCTTGACTTATTGTATAATATAAAAGGCGTTTTGGCGCGACCATCCAGTCATAATATAAAACAAAGAGATAAATCGTTGACTTAATTTTATACATTTTTTAGAAGAAAATATATACTATAAGCCAAAGTTGAAAACCATGTTCTAAATTGTAAAATGTGCGAGGGTATTTTTAATTACATTTTTACCTACTATTAGTAGTAAACACTAGAATTTAATATTCACATTAGCAATATAATATAGTAATTAAAATTATTATTTGGAGTTAAATCGGACAATATCAAATAAATACCGTAAGCAAAAATAAGATTTATATTTTTAGAATATACGATAGAATAGATACAAATCTTTCAATAGATACGACTCTCTCAATAGATACAAATCTTTCAATAAGTAAACATATTATTCACTCATGTTCTTAAACCGTTAATGATCAACGACAAAATACGAAATTTGTAGACAATCATATTAATTTTATATTTTGATTTCTAGATATTATAGTTTTATATGCCTTAATTCTATAAAACTTGCCATGTCTCAATATATGAAATATACACACATTTCAAATAGTTCACAGTTTATCCACCAATTGATTTATTTCCGTAAATCTTGTACATAAGTTCAAAGATATGCGGTATCCCAAGGGATAGGACAAATTGCATATTATGATAGAGATAGATGAGAGGAAATAGTTTTGGCGGTAAAATACCTCAATGGATCGTAAAGATGCATATATATATAAAAAAAAGTTAAACTATATAAAATATTTGCATACGCATCGAGTATGAAGTTCGATTTTCCATTTTCATTATTGCGTTATGTATGTTGTATAACATATTAGTTACGAAAAGTTAAAATGTTCAGAAGACAAATAAAAAACAATTTTAATACATACCACCTACATTGCATTTTATGGGAATAAAATATATTAAATTTAAAAATATATAATCTTAACAAGTGAAATGAATCGAATAGTTGTATAACAGTACCTAATAAAATAAATGTATTACAGGAGTTTTGACTTTATTACTTGAACCCATACTTATAACAGTCAAATAAGAAAATTAATAAGACTTTCTGTTTAAATCATTCACAAACTAATCACGAATTGCACATAAAAAACTGATTCAAAAGATAATAAAAGAACTAAAACTTTTTTATTTATTCTATGTAGTGTGAAATTTGTTTTATGTAAACTTTTCAACAATATTCATATTGATGATTACAATATTTTACCTTGCCTTTATTATATATATATATATATAAAGGTTTAATTTGTTTTATGCTCACTTAAAAAAAGTAATTTATTATATACTCTTCAACGCATAAGCAAAAACATGTAACGTAACTAAAAACTTTCACTTTTTTAGGTCAAATAAATTACTTTCTTGATAAATCTATCTAAATGCAAATATATACAAACATATTAAGTGTACCTATTGAAAAATGACTTTTATTTTGTTTTCGCGGAACTAATGTCGAACACTATATGTTTATGGACAAACGGTTAGGACTAATATTATGACGTGTCCTGTGTACAGATATTACAATAGCATGTCTATATTTAACGAAAAAAGTAATTTAAAATTATATCTGTTCAATATTTTGGCAAACCCGGGGTAACCCAACTGAAGTGTGCCGTGACGAAAAGCTGGGGTGGTTATGGCGACGCCGCATAGTCATTTATATTATGTAATCTTATTAATGTACTAGAAATATATTAAACCTATGGCTTCAATATGTATATGTTGTATGAAGATAATTTAAACAGGACTGTAATGAAACTAACGAAGGTGTATTAAGCCACGTAAAGGAGGGATTTACCCTGATGAACGCAATTAAGCAACGTTGCTGTAAAGTAAAGTGATCGACCACGCATTTTGGCACTCACAAAAGTGTATTACGCTGCTCTATTTCAAAAAAGTGCATAATGGCAGATGATCAGAACAACGACCGACCTGATACTTCAAAGAAGACTATAAAAAAAAATGCAGACGTTACTATGTAGTATGTACAATGTACACTTATGACAATCTAACGACATTATAATCAAACGCCAAGCTATACTCCCTTAATATTGTAGTGAGGTTTTAGCATTATTTAAATAATGTTTTATCTAAATAAAGCGATAAATAATAAACAAAAATCATATTTTGTTTGATAATTTATTACTATGTTATTTATCGCAAATAAATTCGTTGTTTAATGAAAGGTAATATTACATTTTAAGTTATTTAAAATATTTTATTTTATTTACAAAAAAAATGTTTTGAAATAATTTTTTGTTCAAATGTCAAATTAATTTTTTCTTTAATATCTATAAAATGTGTTAAAATAAATAATTATATGGAAAGAAATATTTTATCCGAAAATATATTATTCAGAAATCATCTTTCATCAGCAGAGTTTTGAATAAGGCTATCCGACGAACAAAATGTTGTTGTTAAAAAATAAATGTAAAATTATGTATTATTTGCGATGCGGGAAAAGGGAATCTATTGTCGGAATTTTCTAAAATTAAGTAAGTGTTATTTTCTTAATCTCGATTGATTATTGAACAATTTCCAACCGGATACAACTGTATATAACTGTATGAAAAATGACTAATTTATTGCACATTGAAGTTTGCAAATAGGAATAGTTTGTGAATGTTTTGGCGTTTTCATCGAAATCAGCTTTACAGACAAGATGTCTCGTTTCGCTTTCCACATCGCATTTATAATCTTGTTAAAAATCTGCCAACTCTATACACTATAATAAATAAGGCAAGATGTATTTTACTATTTTGGCTTACAGTACGGATGAGTTTTATTCGACTCGGTGAATTATGTGTGAATAAGCATATTTTAAAAAAGAAAAGTATAAGCTAGTAAAGTTTTACTTTCATTCCTTTGTTCCGCATACATCTTTTATTTTCTGAGACAAAGCAACTTCATGTCAATAGTATATACGGATGTATCTACGTCGTAACGACGACCTCATGTGTATCACATAATCTGGGTGATTTGTTTTTTTAAAGTTTGCGTGCCCTTGTGTTAGTTACGAAGCATGCGA